CCCCCCACAAAATGAGATGTCGCCTGAGGTGACCGCCTCATTATACGGACGGCCCTGAACTCACTTCCTGTCCTAGGGTGGCTGTTTTCACTCCTCCACTATATCTATGGAGGCATGAAAATATTCTCGACTGAAAAAAAAACGAATGCAGCCACCACATCTAAGGACTAGAAAGCTGCAATATATTAGATTGTTGTTCTTGGGTTTGAAGCACACATAAAGGCACGCAATAAGAGACATTTCCAACACACATCACTGCAAAGGTCTGAAAGGACACTAATTACTTATGATGTAGCCACTGTACCTTTGTTTACCCATCCAGTAACAGATCAGGTCGATGTCATGGCAAGATTTAGCCAGCAGAGAAAATGTGCTTTCACTCTCGTTACGCCAGTTTCCTCGCACAAACGAGTGTGCAAAGTGCCAGAATCCAACCTTCACAGTAGGGAAAAAAAACAAAAAAAACCTTGATATATAAACTGTAGAGAAACAATTGTACACACATCTTACATTCCCTAATGACATGTATTTATATATCTGTTAGGTGTGATAAGGAGGAAGAACTATGGAGGATGCAGTAACAATAGCAACAGTTAAATGGAATATTGAGGCCCATCATCCATCCCTACATTGGATATCAGAGGAGATCTGCAACGATTTTTGAATATAAGCAGCAGCCCATACACAGGGCCGGATTTCCCACAAGGCCCGGCCTCGGGGCAGCAGGGAGTAGAGGAGCAACAGGGGTGTGGAATTTCTATCAACCGATACCCGGGCAGGTAGTTGTTTTCTACATTTAGCCCTGCTTTGGGCAAGCAGAGCTAAATGTACAGCGGGGAAGCCGCCGCTTGTTTTGTACAAGTGATCGCGGCGACATTGTATGCAGCCTGCAGAAGGACCCTTGCCTTGGGGCAGCAGAGAGAGTAAATCCAGCCCTGCCCATATCAACCACTTTTGGACAACCCTCTTATGATGTCATTATGTGTCCTGCTCTTTTTATAGGATACTTACTGGTTCCAAGTGCTGGATGTGGACAATATCTCCAATAACTCCAGAATCTATCAGCTCCTAAAACAAGGACACGAAGAGATGATTATTGAGGTTTACAGAGACTGTTATGGCAATCAGCACTTTTTATTAGGGATGTCTGATACTTGGCGTTTTCACGAGTCTGTATTGTTTAAGAAAAACCTTCACATGACACACAAAAAAGGTATCAGTACTTGTATCTGTGAGTACTTGGACAAGTATTGGTACTGGTACTTGGTCTGAGTTTAGTGCCACTTTAATATGATTAATATTACTTTTTCGCACAGGATAGTCAGGAAGATTGTGGTTGTTAAGTATAGGAATGTTTTTAAACATGCTTTCCCAAAGTGTAACTAATATAAATAAACAAACACTTCAGCAAATAACACCATCAAGAGGAACTGTACCCATATCTTTGAAATGACAACAAACACACCTTTAGAAATGTTTTGTAATGACAATCTTCAAACACATACTTCTAGATAATTGCCGGCTTTGTATTCCTTGCATACCTTATTTCTATTTTCTTCCCCAGTCTTCTGACAGTGGCCATTTTTACTAAGGGCAGATTATTATTTATTTCCCTTTACTTTCTGGAACTCTGGCACATGTGACTAGAACATGTGACCATACACATCATCTCAGGGGAGGAAAATGCCTTTCCCTGAGATCTCGTGAGATTACAGATGAGATTTCCTAGCTATGCTCAGCTGATGCAATCTTCCCAGGATGCAATGCTTAAGCACATTACATCACTAATACCCAAGAGGAATGTAAGAAGATCTCATATCACCATACAGAGCTGCACCCTGACGTGATTTTTAGTGACAGGGGGTAAAGGTCCGCTTTAATGAATAAGTGTGCTTTAGTTTTCCTCAGTTAGGGCTTGTTCACACTAATTGCGGTGTGTTCCAGAGTGGTAGCTTCTGGAACGCACAGCCATTGCTCACTATACTTCCCCCTTTGTTCTGGGCTGGAGGGGGCGTGGTGGTGAATGTAAGTCAATGACACAGCAGTATCCCCCCTCCCCACTCACAGTGCGATCGGACGCGTGGCAAAACATTGCCTGTGTTCTGTTCCACTATGAATGCAAAAAAATGCTGCATGCTCTATTTATTTATTTATTGCGTTTGCAGTGGACCGGAACGCAGGTAATGTTTTGCCACCCGTCCGATCACACTGCAAGCGGTGGGGGGGCGTGGCTGCGGCTGCGGTACCATTGACTTCAATGCACCGTCATGCCCCCTCCCACCCCAGAATGAAAGGGCAAGTTTAATGAGCGATTGCTGTGTGTTCCAGCAGCTACCACTCTGGAACGCACCGCAATTGGTGTGAACAAGCCCTTAGAAGAAATATTTTTGTAACTATGTATCATATTTTAATTCCAAAGAAATAATTTTTTTATTTTAAGATTTTTTATTACAAAGAAAAGAAAGCTTTCTTGGTTTGTTAGTTTGTAGTGCTCCCAATATTCTTATATTCCTGTTGATATCAGGAGACAGACTGAAGAGCTTTCTGATAGTTCATCTCTATCTGCAGTTCTTGTGACCCGTTGAATCCATTGAGAAGACGACGGTCATATCGCGTTAGCCAATACAATTATACTTTTGGCTTTACTGACTTTTTTAATGTCTGGATGGCGCCATCAGCTAGTAAGTGAAGGATCTCCAGTGGGTGTTGATTCATGTGTTATGAAGACCCATAGGAAGCAAAGTTCACCCTTCCTGTTAATCTGGTGAAATATTTCATTTATGGTTGCTCTAATAATTGGATTCTTTATTGGCGCAGTAACTGCTTTTCATCTTTGAACTGATGCATTTCAGAGACACTCAATAACTATCTGAACTTATCATTAACTGATTTCAGTAGTGTTAAAAGCGGCATTCATACTCGGCAAGAGCTACTTATTAACAGAGAATATAACAAGGCTCGGCACAAAGATTAAAATCAACAGATAGAATTCTATGTTAGTAAAGCTGGCCATACACTGTCTGAAATTTGAGCAGTGTGTGGCCCCGTCGGCCCCCTCTACTCGACAACATTTTTTTATTGACTTTTGTCGAAAAAAACAGTTTGATCATTTTTGGCCAAACAGTGATTGCAGAATACATAATTCTGAATACATTTTTTTACTTGAATTCTGATGGTTTACTTTTGAAAGGTTTATATTTAGCCAATCTTTTATTGGATTCCTGCTGGACACTTCAGCTGGTGTGTCATAAGGTCAAAGGTCGTAGTTGCTGCTTTTGAACTGCCTGACCACACGCAGCGCACACTTAGAGAGAGAGAGAGAGAAAGAGAAAGAGAGAGAGAGAGAGAGCGAGGAGAGAAGAGGGAGAGAGAAGAGAGAGAGAGAGAGAAAATAGAGAGGGGGGAGAGAGAGAAAATAGAGAGGGGGAGAGAGAGAAAATAGAGAGGGAGAAAAAAAAGAGGGGGAGAGAGAAAAAAGAGAGAGGGGGGAGAGAGAAAAGAGAGAGGGAGAGAGAGAGAGAGAGAGAGAGAGAGAGAGAGAGAGAGAGAGAGAGAGAGAGAGAGAGAGAGAGAGAGAGAGAGAGAGAGAGAGAGAGAGAGAGAGAGAGAGAGAGAGAGAGAGAGAGAGAGAGAGAGAGAGAGAGAGAGAGAGAGAGAGAGAGAGAGAGAGAGAGAGAGAGAGAGAGAGAGAGAGAGAGAGAGAGAGAGAGAGAGAGAGAGAGAGAGAGAGAGAGAGAGAGAGAGAGAGAGAGAGAGAGAGAGAGAGAGAGAGAGAGAGAGAGAGAGAGAGAGAGAGAGAGAGAGAGAGAGAGAGAGAGAGAGAGAGAGAGAGAGAGAGAGAGAGAGAGAGAGAGAGAGAGAGAGAGAGAGAGAGAGAGAGAGAGAGAGAGAGAGAGAGAGAGAGAGAGAGAGAGAGAGAGAGAGAGAGAGAGAGAGAGAGAGAGAGAGAGAGAGAGAGAGAGAGAGAGAGAGAGAGAGAGAGAGAGAGAGAGAGAGAGAGAGAGAGAGAGAGAGAGAGAGAGAGAGAGAGAGAGAGAGAGAGAGAGAGAGAGAGAGAGAGAGAGAGAGAGAGAGAGAGAGAGAGAGAGAGAGAGAGAGAGAGAGAGAGAGAGAGAGAGAGAGAGAGAGAGAGAGAGAGAGAGAGAGAGAGAGAGAGAGAGAGAGAGAGAGAGAGAGAGAGAGAGAGAGAGAGAGAGAGAGAGAGAGAGAGAGAGAGAGAGAGAGAGAGAGAGAGAGAGAGAGAGAGAGAGAGAGAGAGAGAGAGAGAGAGAGAGAGAGAGAGAGAGAGAGAGAGAGAGAGAGAGAGAGAGAGAGAGAGAGAGAGAGAGAGAGAGAGAGAGAGAGAGAGAGAGAGAGAGAGAGAGAGAGAGAGAGAGAGAGAGAGAGAGAGAGAGAGAGAGAGAGAGAGAGAGAGAGAGAGAGAGAGAGAGAGAGAGAGAGAGAGAGAGAGAGAGAGAGAGAGAGAGAGAGAGAGAGAGAGAGAGAGAGAGAGAGAGAGAGAGAGAGAGAGAGAGAGAGAGAGAGAGAGAGAGAGAGAGAGAGAGAGAGAGAGAGAGAGAGAGAGAGAGAGAGAGAGAGAGAGAGAGAGAGAGAGAGAGAGAGAGAGAGAGAGAGAGAGAGAGAGAGAGAGAGAGAGAGAGAGAGAGAGGGGAGAGAGAAAAGAGAGGGGGAGAGAGAAAGGAGAGAGAGGGGGGAGAGAATAGAGAGAGAGAGAGAGAGGGGGGAGAGAGGGGAGAGAGAAAAGAGAGAGAGAGGGGGAAAGAGAAAAGAGAGAGGGGGAAAGAGAAAAGAGAGAGGGGGAGAGAGAAAAGGGAGGGAGAGGGGTAGAGAGAAAAGAGAGAGAGAGAGGGGGAGAGAGTATGAATCACATAAAAAAATTGCAAATGTGTTTCTGTTTGTACAATCAGCTCTATAAAAAATCTTTATCAAATCTTTTCCCAAATCCTCCTGTCTATGGACAGCTATACAAAACAGAGACAGTTGCAGCTCTCATGTACTCCCCCATTTCTGAGCTTTTTCCCACAGTACACATTGGTCCATCTCATTTCCCAGCGGTTTCCTGTAGATGTATACATATCTTATGGCCTGGAGCAGTAACATGATGTTCTAAAGCCTTTGTGCGTCTATAGAACTTCACATGAAAGGTTTTTTTTTATATAGAATGCAGAGGATTTTCACTCGTGAAACTTCACAAACATGAACAGCCAGATAAACTATTTTAGAGCCCTCCATACATATTGTTAAATGAGCAGCTATTGCGCAATGTTACCTTTATTTGTATTGAAACTGGATGGTAGCGCAAAACGTGTCCCACTGCGAGCATAACTCCATTCTCTTTACACGTGGAAACTATTTCACAACAGTCCTCAGGAGTCACCTACACGAAAAACAGCACAGGGCAAACCATTGTTTTATATTATAACTGTATTTTGAAATCTAAATTAAGGCTGAACTCTGGGCACAAAAACTTTTATTTAAACATACTCTCCAATAGCCACACCAAATGCCTTTGCTAACACAGTTATTGACTTGCAAAAGTAACAGTGACATCATCACTGTGCTGTACATAGTCTGGGCAGAGCTGTGGCAGGGACTCAGCAGGCCCTACCCACTACAGGCTCCCTGCAGAAACTATAGGAAGGGGCGGAGACAAGACCAGTCACCCGGCACACGTAGAGAGAGCAGCAGTGACTGGTCTTTATTACAGGAAACTCCAAGTTTCACACTGGATTACTGCACAGATCTGAAGGAAATACACAAAACACACAAAGATTCAAGGAAAAAAAACACACGACTTTTGTTTCGTCTGGATTTCAGCTTTAAAGTTTGGCCAGCTCGATGTTGATTGGCAGTGAAGCCGGGTTCCCAGCCAATGAGCATGGAGATGGCTTCCCGGCCCATCAGGACGCCGGGCAGGGAGTCATAACCTGCTGCCCGGGTTCCTGATTGATCGGGAAGCCGGTTCCATATTCCCTCGCGGCACTGCCAGTTAAAGGAAATCTCCCTCTGCCGGAAGTTCCGGTATGGAGGAAGGTATCAGAGCATTTTACTATGAGAACTTGCCCAAATACTCTGTATCTGCACTGATACCGATACTAGTATCGGTATCGGTGCATCCCTAGTTATTATTATTACTGCTATAACTCTTCTTTTGTACTTTTGTTTTTTTACTGACCACTGCTACTTTTTTTACTCTTTCATTGCTTGCTGTGGAAGTGGGAGGCTTACAATTTGTTCAGTCTCTGAGACCATATATGGTGAAAATGCCTGGTGAGCTATTGATGACACAGGAGTTAGCTGGAAAATTAATGGAGTTGCTAAGTCCCAGCCTATCCCCTCCTGTTATAACATCAGCATTGTAATAGGAATACATACTAGAGATGTTCTTGATAATGAAATCAAAGCTTACTGAGAAGAATCCCTTTTATGTAGTGAGTGCTGCCTTCTGTCAACCCATCACTTTTACCAACTTCCTGGATTCCCAGCGTGCTTTGCGTCTATTTCCCTGCTGCTTGATATGATGCAATCTACATTTCTCAAGACTACATATCCCATCATGCATTGCTTCCTGCAAGCAGTGATGATATTACATTGTTCAGATATTGAGTTGTAGTTCAGACATCAGACAGAGTTGAGACACAAGGAAGTGCATATTCACAGGGCTGCATCTTCAAAAAGTTTGTTTACAAACTTCTAGATCAGGGGTCTAAAACTCAATTCACTCGGGGGCCACTGGATAATTTTTTTTCTCCCATGGTGGCCGCTTTTCAAATTTCCCCAGCCCCCCCCC